GGTTGCTGTTGGCAGTTGCTATCACTCAGGCTATCTCCCGAGCGCCTTCGCCTCTCAGAACAAGCGGATATGGAGGGATTTTGACTGAATGACTACATGCTCTAGGGAAATTTTCTGAAAAAGTCAATGTACAAGATCATCAATTCAATCCACTAAATTTATCTGCCACAACAGGCCCAGACACAGCTTCGGGGTTCGGATTTGGGCAGTATGGAGAAGAGGAACAAGGGCGCTAGTGAGGGATTCGAAATGAATAACGGTGACAGCGATCTGTGTTCTTACTCTACCGTCACAAGACTTCAGCACTAACTCTAGTCAGTGAAGCACCTCATTGCGGTCTAGAGCAAGTAACGTTCGGAACGAGGTACCGATGTTCAAAATACATTGGGAACATCCTAAAATACTTAAATTCTTGCCCTGCGTTGTCAGCAGAACGCTGGGCTAATCACTTCTGAAGGCGAGACGTAAGAGACAGGACAGCTAGTAGGCTGGCCATCTGGCGATGCAGCACTGAACAAAGCAGTTATGTAAAGGAACAAGATTTTCTGATTGGACCTGATAACATATCAAAAACTATAGGCGGATCCAGGATTGAATTCTAAGCCGGGAGAAAGGGGTGGGGAGGAGAACCCCTTCTCACTCTGGAACTATGCCGAAACTAGGAATAAAGTTGCAACACTGCTTCTTCGAGTTACTTTAGGCTTTAGTTTATTTTAGGTTTAGAGCGGGTTTTTGTCGCACTGGTGCCCTGTACCGCTCGAAGGAGGGAGGGGGACCCTGGGCTCGCCTATGTATCAAACTCAGTGTCTTATAAAAAACCCTGAAACTAGCATTTAAAAAAAATATTTTTCGAGCATACCGATGTTAGACCAATAGCATTAGTTCGACGGGCAACAGCTTTATTGAACTGGACTGGAAGTTCCGCTTCTGGAATTGCCTCACTTCCATGTCTCCAGACTAGAAAAATCATAATGCAACAAATTTAAAAATACCATCTGTTTTATCAAAAATCAAAAAAAAAGTGAAAAAAAAAACTGGAAATATGATGTAAGTTCATGAAAAGTGGATGCACTTGAAAGCTGCGTGCAAGACTATCGAAGATTCTGTCAAAATACTTGGTTTTGCTGCAACTCAAATTTTCGACCGCAATTTATCGTCCTTCTTATTGCGAAACCTCATATGAAGTAGATTAGTGAGGAAAGCAGTGAGGATGAAATTGAAAACGGGGAACGTACAGAAATCAACGAGCAGCTCTCTCGAGTTGATCTTCTTGAGGGCGTTCGCGAATGATTCCATTTTTTTGGCACGTGTTGCTTCCCAGACTAGCTCACTCTTATGCGTTTCGATATCAAACAGTGAAACTGCCTGAGCACTTGGGGATCGATATTCGGGCGTATGTGTTGCACCAATGCGCATCCCAGAAACATTCCCCGAAGCCGAACCGAGAAGACGAGATGTTGGTGTAAAATGTGATGGCTGGTCCATTGTC